GTGGGGGGAGGGGGGGGAATAACTAAAGTCGTGCATGCCGTAGTCGTTAGGCGTTAGGTGGGATGGGGAAGAAGGCGGCGGAGGTAGATGGAGGTCCTCCTGCCGCGGCAGAGACAGAGAGGAGCCCACCATCAGCAAAGGAGAACAACCAAGGCACAGAGGTAAGGATGGGTTGTACAGATTTCCCGCTGGCGCTGTGTGCCAAGGGGTCATTTCCGCCTTCACTTGCCTGTGAGACTGAGCGCGATTGCATCAACCACGAACGTTCCTTGGATGAGGACGAACACGGGATACATATCAACACGAACAAGAGGCCCAGATGCCAATAATAAATGACGAAACCACGCGCGACGGCGGCAGCGGGGTGTGTGGGAGGCGTGGCCTAGAACGCATTCTTCCTTCTTTGCTCCGTAAAAAAACAAAAACTGCAGTATAACGCGGTCGACGCCGCAAATTTTAAGAAGTGCGCACACCCCTGATCATGGTAGCCTACATACAAAAGAATTTTGTGTTTTCAACCACACTGAGACTGACGTATGTTCATTGGTCAAGATCGGGTAGCGCGGCCGATGGTAGCAACAAAGAGCAAATTCTCCCGCGGCACACACAAACCTTGACAGCGAGGAGTTGGTGCAACTCCGTGTGCAGTTGGTCGAGCGTGAACCCCGACGACATCGGCGCTGCCGCCGCCGCCGCCGCCGCCGCCGCCGCCGCCGCCGCCGCCGCCGCCGCCGCCGCCGCCGCCGCCGCCGCCGCCGCCGCCGCCGCCGCCGCCGCCGCCGCCGCCGCCGCCGCCGCCGCCGCCGCCGCCGCCGCCGCCGCCGCCGCCGCCGCCGCCGCCGCCGCCGCCGCCGCCGCCGCCGCCGCCGCCGCCGCCGCCGCCGCCGCCGCCGCCGCCGCCGCCGCCGCCGCCGCCGCCGCCGCCGCCGCCGCCGCCGCCGCCGCCGCCGCCGCCGCCGCCGCCGCCGCCGCCGCCGCCGCCGCCGCCGCCGCCGCCGCCGCCGCCGCCGCCGCCGCCGCCGCCGCCGCCGCCGCCGCCGCCGCCGCCGCCGCCGCCGCCGCCGCCGCCGCCGCCGCCGCCGCCGCCGCCGCCGCCGCCGCCGCCGCCGCCGCCGCCGCCGCCGCCGCCGCCGCCGCCGCCGCCGCCGCCGCCGCCGCCGCCGCCGCCTGCTTCTCTTGGCCCCCGCCGCTGCCGCTGGCACCACCGCCGCCACCTCCCGAAAACAAGCCGCCCCCGCCTTCCTCGACGGCGTCAGCGTTTACCGCCCACCCGGCCTCGCGCTTGTCCTGCAGGCGTTTGAGCGAGGCCGCTACCAGCAACGCCAATCCACCGTCGACGGAAGCCCTGATTTGTTCCTCGAGGTGAGGCTTCCGTCTGTCCTTAAAGCCCGCCGGGTTGCGGTCCAGCCTATCCAAGCTCTGGATCTTCCTTGCCTGGTGCAACACATGTTGGCGTACAAAATGTCAAGTGTGAGTTCCGGTGTGGTACATGTCGTGTTTCCACCCATCAGAAAAACGCGTCTAAGGATGGACCTTGTCCTAACATTCAGGCGAGAGCACAACATCAAAAAAAAGTGTGGAAGTGTCCGTTTCTTTCCTATCGTCTTTGTTTCCCACAAAAGTCTATCGACAAGACCTTCGTCCCTGAACATAAGGGCGGAGAACACAACCCGTCAGGGGCGTTTAAACAACTTCTTTTGCTACGATAGCGGGCGGCGAAATGAACCCAACAGCAGAACTATCCGCCTGGAGAAACTGGCTTCACTTAACGTCGCAAAAAATACTTTCCCATACAAAGTGGCTAAAATGACGTCGAATCAATCACTTCTCCTCACCCGGTAATCCTCCCTGTTGCAGGACAGGAGCAGCAAGTCCGCCAGGAATCTCGACGCCTCGAACCGCGGGGCGAAAGCCAAGCTCGGCGTGTAGTCCAGCGTGTTTAGGCCCGGCATTCGCAGGAGCCCATTCAGCCTCGGCGCGTCCGTCGCCCCGTTGCTCCCGCCGCCGCCGCCGCCGCCGCTGCTGCCGTTGATAGTCGGCGGAACCCCCTCCACCCCCTCCCCCTCCGCTTCTCCCACGGCGGAGCCTCCCGCAGTCCTCTTTCTCTCCTCCGCCTCAAGCCTCTCCGCGTGTCTGAACGCGCGCCTCGACACGGCGCGCCCCCCCCCCATGGCCGAATTTTGCAACCCTGGGGCCCCCGCCGCGACGTCGTCGAACGTCCAGCCAGGGAAGCCGCCGAGTGTCAGCCGCCCGTCCTCCCCTACCAGGCGGAAGCCGGCGAGCTCCTCGAACCGACGGACCAGCGCAGGATTGCTCCACGTCTAATGTGCCCCGCCGCGAAAGCGAAGCGCGCACGAACGAAATAAAACGGTGTGCGTGCGTGCACGGGTCCGAGCGGCGGGCGGGGATGACAAGCAAGCGAACGGGAGAGCGCACGTAATAAAATGCCTGGTACATACGTACAACCGTGCTTTCAGTCGATGCTATAATAAAAGACGCGCACACACACATCCAACGCTGCAACAGCCTGCAACAGCGTTCGTCCGTCAGCAACCTACCTTCGGTCGAGCGCAAGCCTCGGCCTCCAGGGCCGCCCACGACGGTGCCGCCGCCCCCGCCGCGCGGAGCGCCGGCAGCCGGTCCAGCCTCCGCCTCCCTACCGCGGGCGTCGCGCCCGCCTCCTCGGGCAGGGCGGCGGCGGCCATGATTCTCCCCAGGACCAGGTACGAGCTGAGGTAGAAACCGGCCTTTAGAAGCCCGGCGGCGAAGTCGACGTCTTCGCGGTGGGACAGGTACGCCTCGAACTGCGCCAGGCACGGATGCCTCGGAGGCTGCCGTTGACACCGCCGCCCCGCTTCTTCTCTGTCGTCGCCGCCGTCCTGCCACGATCCCGAACCCAGGTCGTCACCCGCACTACTGTCACCACCTCCACCGTCAATACCGCCGCTGCCGAAGCTAGACAGCCAGCCGGTCGGGTCGGCGTCAAGGTCGGCGTCCAGCGCCTCCGCGACCACCGCCGGCGGTCGCCACACCAAGAGCCTCCCTTCCACGTCACCAACGGCACCCCCGTTGCCGTCTTCGTCAAGGAAGCTCAGCCACGGCACGCCTCGGAGCACGGACGACCTCTTGGCAGCGGCACCGACGCCGCCTCTGCCCGCCCCAGAGGCGCCGCCGCCATGCCCGCCCGGGCAGAGATGGAGGAGGGCGTCCTCGACGCCCGTGGCGGAGAAAATCTCGGCCTCTAAGCGGGCCAGGTCGCCGTACACGAACCCGTCGTCCGGTCGTCCTCGCTCAGCCCAGTCTCCCGCCGCCGCCGCCACCCCTCCTTCTGGAGTAGCAGCGTCGTCTCTGGTCTCCCCTACACCTGCTGCCGTTTGCTGTTGCCCGGCGGACACCACAATGCCGCCATTGTCACCCGCTGCGGCTATCACTTCTTCCCCAGCAGGGGATGACGACGCTTCCCCTACGATTGCCGCCGCCGGGCCCGCCGTCGTCTCCTCCACCCCCGCTAGCACGTTCCGCCGGTGCACGCCGAGTATGCACATCACGACCGCCTGCAGCCCCGTCAGAGCCGCCATGTCCCTGCCCGCCTCGCTCAGGCTCTCCGACCACTCCATAAGCGCCCGTCCGAGCCGCGGGCTCATCTTCATCTTCTTCTTCTTCGCCCCATTCAACGGAGCCTCTACCGCCTCTACCGCCGCCGCCGCCGCCGCCGCACCGACATCCGCCGCCGCTTCTCTTACCCTCGCCGGTTCCCTCTCCCCCAGCTTCCACAGCCCGGGGTCCTCCCTCAAGATTGCTAGGGGGGAGCCCCGGTAGTCGGAGGCGCTGTCGAAGCCGCCCTGGAATTCGGCGACCATGCCCGCTGTGCCCACGGACCCGTGAGCACCACCGTAGCCGTAGCCGTAGCCGCTCCTGCCGCTATCGCTGACGTTACCGCCCCCCGTGCCGTGCTCTTCTTCGTCTTTGTATTCGTGTTCGTCGTGTTCGTCTTCGTGTTCGTCGTCATCGACTTCGTCCTTCCCGTCGGCAAGGCCGTCCTTGGCATCCTTCTTCGAGACCCCGACGCCGCTGCCGCCGCCGCCGCCGCCTTCAGCAAGGGCGCGGTCGTCGAATATCTGGAGACGGGGAGAATGGAGGGAGAAGAGTTAGTTCGGAGAAGATTTGTTAATGTGGGGACCGATCTGTTGCCAGCAGAGACAAAAAAAAAAAAATGGACAGAGGCGATACTATTTTACAGGAGAAGGGACTGCATCGCACGGTATGGTCGCCGTGGGCAAGACCTGTTGGAGTCCGGACCGATTAAAAGCTTTCTTTCGACAGGGGCCCTACAAGAGGAGAAGCGATGGCATCGCACGGTACATCCAACTCTTCCATCGCGACCGACGAAAAGTTGAGGAAGCCAGTATCATTCATCGATATGCCACCATAGAGAGGGAGCATGTCTGCGACTACTGCTGTGGCTTGAACAACGGACCTCGTCAATACGTCAGCTTTCGCCAGACTGCTGCGAAGACAAACCTCGGCCGATGTGACCATGGTGTTTGTCGCAAAGGGGGGGGCGCCAAGCATGCATATTTTGGCGTCGTTTTTCACCACCGTTTTCCCATTTTTAATTTCACCCATTGCGCCGACATTGCAAAGCGCGGGACTGAGAAAAAGGAACGAAAAGGCAAACACTAGTCTCGCGCCAACCGAAAGATTCTTATCAATGGAAAAAAATCATTCGATTTTGCCTGGTAGCGCCATCATCCGCTGGTTTGTAAAACCAGCACAAAAGACAGTTAGTTAGGCGGTGGCCGGTGAAATGAGGCATGTGCAACCTGGGGAAAGCATCTGCCTAAAACCCTCAACAACAGTGATGAAACCGCATCCATATAACCATCTATACCACAACCATAGTCATGACACCGCACATATTCGTTCACAACTCCCGTCGAGCCTAACCCACACCCGACGATCGAACTCAAAATAACGCGAGAGGAGAGGGGTGGGTGATCATGGGACCGAAAAATGGGCGAACCCGAAACCACAGCTAGAGCGGGGGGGGGGGGG